GTGAATGTTTAGACCTATGTTAGTTTTTACGCAGTGGCTGCGCGTCCGGAACCGGTCGCCTAGCCTCTAGGCTACGCATCCGGACATCCACTCACACAGTGATCGCGCGATTTGCGTACACGCATCATTGCGCAACGGGACGCTCTACTGATTGCCGTAAATATACAATATATGCACTGCTGCCGTCTATCCTTTCATCCATCCTCTCTCGCTCTCTCTCTCTCTTTCACACACACACGCACACTCTCTCTCTCTCTCGCACATACACCTCTAGCTCTCTCTCTCTCTCACACACACACACACACACCTCTAGCCACACAAGTTCCCTTCTTGCTTAACACCACGTTGGCGAGAGGCCCACAAGCTGACACAATAGAATATTGTTCAGCATGACGTGCGCTGCTATTAAACGTAAAATTATCTAACTTTTTATGATTGTTACCGCTTCTCTGTACTTCCACGCCTCGATTTATTATATGTGCGCTATCACTGAGGCAGATGGGGTCGTTGTCGTATCAGGTACTACAGATATGTACCCGAGGTAGTTTTAGGTTGTTTAGTATTATGTTTATATTTTTATAAGAGGTATGTTTAGGGTTAGGGTTAGGGTTAGGTCTAGGTCTAGGGTTAGGGTTAGGGTTAGGGTACACTTCTGTAGTACAAGTCTGGTACACTTCTGTAGTACAAGTCTGGTACACTTCTGTAGTACAAGTCTGGTACACTTCTGTAGTACAAGTCTGGTACACTTTGTGTATACATATATGTACCTCGGGTAGATATCTGTAGTACCTGATACGACAACGGCCCCCTGAGCATCACTAAGCATGTATTTACGTGTCAGCGAGTAATTATTTATAAATTGATAAGGTAAAACTAAAAAAAAAACGCTGCAATTTTCCCATAGATATCCCATCATACGTAGCGTAAAGTACAAGTACAACCCATAGAAAAAGAGACATAAGAACATCCAGTATGGCGTTTTACAATGTTCAATTAGTATAGCTGTTCGAAATTCTCTTATTTTAACGTGTATTTTAAGGTAAATAGTAATTAAGAAGTGATGCGATATTTGCAAACATGTAACAGGTGAGGTCAAATGTGGTAATATTATTTTATTTACGAAATTTTACGAAATTCGGAGTTTGTTTTCAAACTACCAGGCATTTCGTATGGAAGGGTGTCAGGCTTCTACGACGTGTAACAGTCGGAGAGCCTGGTCGGTTTAACACACCTCTAGCTCTCTCTCTCTCTCTCTCTGTCTCTCTCTCATACACACACACACACACACACACACACACCTCTAGCTCTCTCTCTCTCTCTCTCTCTCACGCATACACACACACATACACATTCCCTCTTTCTCTCTCTCTCTCATGCACACACACTCGGCAATCAGCAAAGCGTCCCGTTGTGCAATCATGCGTGTACGTGTCCCAAGATCACTGTGTGCGATGGATGTCCGGACGCGTAGCTTAGCGGCTCCTCGTCCGGGCCACGGCCTAGTTTTTAACCCTTCACTTCAGTACCAGCGCGTAGAAGAAGCGAATAGCTATGTATGTTTTGGATGTAGGTTGCACCTAAACCATTTAATTTTACTTTACGATGATTGAATGATGAGCAGTGATGTGATCCTGGTGGGGATTCAGAGTCGGACAGCCGCCATGATAGAATAACAAAAGTGAAATTGTGGTATGAAATCTCGCGTTTCCATTTTCGTGCTTCAACATATCAAACATAATGATTGTTTTAAATTGTACTTTACCAGGATTGCATGACACTGGGCGAAGGCTGAGTGATCAATCATGGTTCTAACGAAGCAGTACCTCCGCTACGTCCCGGGAGCACAGTTCGGACTCATCGGTAGCCTCAAGAGTAACATCGTATATCTGGAACTTCGCGGCCAGCAGGGAAAGTACTGCGCCGTCGCGACGGGCGAACACGTAACAGTATGGGACATCCGAAAGAGCGAGAAAGTCTTCTCGCTGCCGGGCGAAAAGCACGAGGTCACGATTCTCGGAAAGAGCCCCGACAAGCACCACCTGGCCGTCGGCTACGACGACGGCAGCGTCAAGATCTTCAACCTGCTGTCCGGCGAGATGTCGGTGACGTTCAGCGGCCACAAGTCGGCGGTGACGGCGCTCGCGTTTGACGCGGACGGCACGCGACTTGCGTCCGGTTCACGCGACACGGAGGTCATCGTGTGGGACACGGTCAACGAGGCGGGAATGTTCCGGCTGCGCGGCCACAAGGGTCCGATCACGCAGTGCTACTTTGTGCGCGCCGAGAACTTCCTCGTAACGAGCTCCCGCGACACGTTCATCAAGTTTTGGGATCTCGACACGCAGCACTGCTTCAAGACGTTGCTGGGACATCGCACGGAAGTCTGGGGTTTCGTGGTTGTCAGTGGAGAAACGCGGCTGATTAGTGGGAGTGCCGACAATGAGCTGCGTGTGTGGAAAGTTGAGGTGAAGGAGCGAGTCGCTGGTGGAGCCGAGAAAGATTCCGGCGAGCCAGACCCAAAGCAAATGAAAATTACTGCGGAGGGAGGAGCAGGGGAGGCGGAGGAGGATGACATGGACGACGAAGATAGTGTCGTTGCGGTAACCAAACTGGGATCCGTGTTTAGAAAGGGCCGCGACCGCGTCGCCTCGCTCTCGGTGGACGCCACGGGAACCGTCGTCGGTTGCCACGGCAACGACACCCTCCTCGAGCTGTTCAAAGTGTGCACGGCGGACGAGACGAAGAAACGACTGAAACGAAGGCAGAAGAAAGCTCGCAAGAAGCTGGCGAAGGGGAGTGCTGACGCAGGAGCCGACGAGGAGGCTGACGTCGCCGTTGCCGTGGACGACGCCGTTGCCATCGACGACGAGATCACGCGACTCGCGGCGGTGCACATGGGCGCGAAGCTGCGATCGTTCGACGTCCTCGTCGAGCCGACGACGGGCGACGCCAAGATCGTCGCGTTGCTAGGCAACAACTCGCTCGAGGAGTGGCGCGCGTCGACGACGGACGCGAAGGAGGTCGCGACCTCTCTGCACCAGCTCGCCGCTCCCGCGCATCGCACGGATGCGCGCGCCGTCGCCGTGAGCGCCGACGGCACGGCGATCCTGTCGGCGAGTGGCGAGAGCGCCAAGCTGTGGAACCGCGCGACGCTGCGCTGCGTGCGCACGATGGCGTGCGGCTACGCGCTCTGCTGCCAGATGGCGCCGGGCGACCGGCACGCGATCGTCGGCACCAAGGCCGGCGCGCTGCAGCTGTTCGACGTCGCGTCGGCGTCGCTGCTCGAGTCGGTTGCCGCGCACGACGGCGCCCTCTGGTCGATGTGCGTGAGCGCGGACCGGCGTGGCCTCGCGACGGGCGGCGCCGACAAGCAGGTCAAGTTCTGGGACTTTGACCTCGTAGCCGACGACGACGATGACACGGCGGCGGGGAGCCGGCGGCTGGGCGTCGTGCATCGCCGGACGCTGCGCATGTCCGAGGACGTGCTATGCGTGCGCTTCTCGCCCGACGGTCGCCTCGTCGCCGTCTCTCTCCTCGACAGCACCGTCAAGGTGTTCTTCGTCGACACTCTCAAGTTCTTCCTGTCGCTGTACGGACACAAGCTTCCCGCGCTCGCTCTCGACATCTCGTCCGACAGCACGCTGCTCGTCACCGCATCCGCCGACCGCAACGTCAAGCTTTGGGGACTCGACTTTGGCGACTGTCACCGCTCGATGTTCGCGCACGATGACAGCGTCACAGCGGTGCAGTTCGTGCCCGGCACGCACCTGTTCTTCACGGCGGGCCGCGACGGACGAGTCAAGCAGTGGGACGGCGACACCTTCGAGAAGGTGGTGACGCTCGACGGTCACCACGGCGAGGTGTGGGCGCTCGCGGTCGCTCCCGCGGGAGCGTACGTCGTCACGGCGGCGCACGACCGCTCGCTGCGCGTCTGGGAGAGGACCGACGAGCCGCTGGTGCTGCAGGAGGAGCAGGAGACGGAGCGGGAAGCCGAACACGAGGCGGCGGCCGTCGCCGAGGGAGGCGCTTCGGCGTCGGCGAGCTCGGAGGCGGCGCTGCCCGCGAAGAAGACGATCGAGACGGTGAAAGCCGCTGAGCGCCTCATGGAAGCGATCGAGATTTACCGCGAGGAGACGACGAAGGAGGAGGACCACGCTCACGAGTGCCTGGAGGCGGGGGGGCGCGCTCTGGCACCGCCGCCGCCGCACCCGCTGCTCGCCGCGCTGGGCGGCGTCACGGCGACGCGGCACGCGTTCAACGTGCTGCGGCGCGTGCGCTCGAGCGAGCTGGAGGTGGCGCTGCTCGTGCTTCCGCTCGCGGACGTCAGGACGCTGGTGCGGCTGCTCGTGTGTTTCCTCGAGCGCGGCTGGGACGCGGAGTTTGCGACGCGCTGCGTCTGCTTCCTGCTGCGCGCGCACCACCCCGCCATCGTCGCCGACTCCAGCCTCCAGCCCGTCGTCGAGCGACTGCGTTCACTTGTCACGCAGCGCGTCGGCGAGATGAAGGACCTCGTGGGGTTCAACGCGGCGGGCCTCTCCTGCCTGCAGCAGCGCATCGAGAGCAGCGAGGCGGTGACCTTCTTCGCTGATGCGACGGGGAGGCTGCAGACAAAGAAGAAGCGAGCGAGGAAGGCCGAGCGGGCCGTGATCGCGCTGTAGCCGCCAGCGTCTGCTCGGTCGCCATGGCGACGGCGGGATAAGGCAACGCGCATAGGTCTCACCGACGATTTTGGATCGGTTATCGAAGTTCGTTGAATCGCGAATAATGTGTTGGGTTGCTAATACGATTCTTGCTCTCAGGCAATTGATCTTTCTATATGCTGTTGAACGCATCGATAGTTCTGCTGTGTATCAAAGTGGAAATTTAATAAAATAAGGTGTCTGAAGTTTTCTGAGAAGTTGTCGTTTTCTGTCTTTATGTGTTGAAAGGGAAAATGTGAAACTCAGGTGCTACAACATATGTTGTGAAATGTAGCAAGAGTACGATGAGACAATGTGCTTTCACTGTGTGTTTAAAATTATATGACACTGGTAAATGACAAATCTGGTACAGAGGAGTTAATTTTTCATCGAAAGTTCGAGGAATTATATTGAAAAATAGGAGAATTATTGATTTATAGGAAATATTTGAACATTTATATTAATTAACTATGAACTTGTAGTAAGAAACAAGTTTTATATTCACCACGTTTTTTGTTTATTCATGCTCACACAAGCTTATCTGGGAAAATTCATATCAGCACCTTCCTTGTTTTATGAGTATACATTATATATATATACGATTTTGTGGCTTTACTATGTCTTCATGTACGCAATTTTATTATAATATATTTGCCATATATTATAGTTATATGCCATATTTTATAGTAATTGTTCTGACGCGCTTTATACTCGCTTCGTTATAAAGTTCAGCGCAGTCAAAAACGTAGGAATTAACCGCACGAGGGCAGCACCGTGCAGTCACTCGACGTGTGTGCCATGCTTGTGGAAGACGATCGGCGAAGCATCGAGGTGTTTATGGCCGTGTCGGCGTTTTGTCTCTGTGACCTCATAATCATTTCTATGTTACCGCTGTCAACTACTACATATTGTACACGGATAATCCGTACAGCGATGGTCGGTAGTTGCTGTTAGTGGACGATGGTGCACAAAAGGTGTCCAGAGTGCCAACAACAGGTAGACATTATCAAATTAGTTCGAGTTATTTATTGCAAATGCCAGTTTTCGTCGCATAATCGTTTACATGTAAATTAGCCCTGTGGCAATAGGATATGGTGAATCATGGAAGTACGTGGGCACCACATGCGAAAGCGCAGTTTATGTAATGGACGACTATGATTTTAAATAGTTGATAATAATTTAGAGGGTTTTGACAAATCTATTCTATGACAAGAGTACAATGACTTTATAATTAATTAACTATACGCCCTTACGTGTTTTCTAACGAGGATCTAGTCGGATAGTCCGACTCCATGTAATGCTAGTTAAAATGGAATTTTGGTGAGTTTTTTGCTACATAAGTGATGATTGCACTCATAATAATTGTATATCTGAAGTTCTACCCAGTAAATTGGTTTTTATACAGTTAAAAATATAGTTTTTTAAAACACATTTGTGTGTGCAAGAAAAAGAAAAACGTTCCAAATGTCTCAGAAAGAAGTGTGAAATGGCAAGTATGATACAACAGAGGTTCTGTATCATACGTATCATTGGAATTTTGGAATGTGAAAAAGTCGTTTGTTTTGTTTTGTTCTACGCAATCTTGCTTCGTCCCTGCTGTTGTTTTGTAGTTATTAATTTGATCAATTCACGTTGAGTTGTTGATGTTTTAACTTGATGATCTTGCATAATCCATAAATTATACAGTATCTTCTTGCTCATTCTATATTCATTGTATATTTTGTTCATTACATATTTGTTTCCTGCACTTTTTCTCCTTTGATTTATGAACTGCTTGCTTTACTGCTTGAATTTGCATAACGTGCTCTCCACTTAATTGCTGATTATGTGAAATTCTTCATTACCATATTATGTTATTCAGCGGCTCTTTAATCTACTCTTGGGGGTGGCAGACTAGATGACTTAAGTGTCCTTCGCCACTCCCGTGCTTAAACTGATTAAAATTGTACTTTTACATGTAATTATTTCTTTTATAACAATGTACTCTGAATTTATGTATGTCTTATGCACAAATAAACTGTTTTCAATCTTCAATCAATCAATCAATCTATCATACTTGCCATTTCACACTTGTTTTTGAGAAATCTCTCTTTTTGAAAATTCAGTAAATAACTCGAATAGTCTACATCATGGTCATGTTGGGTAGTTGGGGTTAGATCATAGATGATTATTTGATTGGTGCTTATATATAGTGGCCCAATGGTAGGTCAGTGCACTAGCAATGCACTAGACATCATCAGTGTAGAGTTTAGTGGATTAACTATTTCATATTGTTTGATTCAGCTTGCTAACGCATGTAGAAAGTGTGCCTGTGGGCACGACTTCTCAAGGAAAAACAAAGCAGTGCCAGAACTAGGTAGGCGTGTAAACTTTTTAATTCCATCAAAAATTTCATCATTGTGTACCATTCAGAGGATACTTTAGGATACTCTAAAGATCTATGACAGGTTGCATTGTTGTGGTCATTGCTGTATGGAAGATTACCTGTTTTTATTTCCAGGAGAGAGTAGCGACCAACCTAAGGTGAGAAGGACTGATCGACTTCTGCGAGAGAGGAGAGACAAACCAGATTATACAGCAACAGAGATAGAACATCAGTTGAGAAGAGTGAGAAACATTTTCGATTGGCGATTCCGTCAAACATTTAACACAATACCATATGCCACTAGCTGCATGTGCTAGATTATATAAATGTCATGCTTAAATGTTATACGATTTTAAAATAATAATGCAGTAAAACCTGTAATTCTATTTTTTGCTTATGCGTGGGAATGTGATTACATCTTTCGTGACTCCGCCCCGCACATGTAAATAATTGCTATTCTGTGTTCTATATTATTCTAAGTAAGCGATTACATTTTTCCTCATAGCTGGAGAGAGGTAGCTCTTATAGACCTCTTACGCATAAAGCCACCCTGAGTACGTCAGCAAGCAAGATAGCCAGCCAAAAGGCTGCATCCATCTCATCAAAGTCTTCCTCTTCCTCGGAAAAGACCGGCCCTGTGAGCATCACTTCCAGCAATAAAAGCGAAGAGACAGCAGCAGGTAAATGTATATAGCAGTAGTTGTTCTACACGTGCGTACAACATCTGGAAGGAATGCCGAACTGTATACGTACGAACTCGCATTCTCGCAGAGTAATATATAATGCCATTACAAACACGTAGTAGAACAGTTTACTTCCACATTGTAATTGTGTTTTTTTACTATATACGTGCAATTGTACGTGTGCATGTGTGCGTCTGAACATGCGTATGTGGGTGGGTGCATGCGTGTGCGCGCACGTGTTTAATGGTGTGTGTTTCGAGCAGGTGGTGACGATTCACAGAAGGCACTGAGAAGGTCGTCTGGAAGAGTAGAACTCCTCATTCGCCGACGCAGCGAAAGCTCACACAGCAACGGAAACGGTAACGCCATCTAGTGCAGTGCTTCTTAAACTGGTGAATGATTCACCCAAGGGTGAATGAAATTAGTTTGGGGTGAATGAAACTTGCCAAAAACATAAGGAAATTTAGTAGCGGGTGAATGAAATTTTGTGATAAAGACGAGGGTGAATGACACTGAAATAGTTTAAGAAGCACTGATCTAGTGGTTACCATGTACCCACCACTCCGTCCATGAGAAAAGTACGCGGGGTTCTGTACTATAATACTACGGAACAAATTGCTTTTGTTAACGGCAAGGAATTATCTGCTTTTTTAAGGGAATTCGAGCGGCAGAGACGAAGATGTCTCCATAAACTTGTCCGCGGAGAAACCGTTCCAGTGCTCAGTGATTCTTGCAGAAATTAACAGGAAGATTCAGTCTCAGACGATCCAGCTGGACGCTTGATTGGTGAGTTCTCAGTTGGAGTATTTGGTGACTTAGCAAGAACTGTAAATCTCTTTCTTATTTGAATTTATTTCTTGTGAGCGTATTTCTTTTTGGCTCCTAACAAAATGAGATGCTGGTTAAAACTTGTATACGTTTACTTCCACTCCGATACATCCGTGTATGTTGATGGGAACGAGAGCGTGAAATGCAATAGGTTAATCGTGTTGCGTCGTCCCAGGTTGTCACGGCAACGGAGGTACAATGATCGCCAACGGCGACCACGTCATCCTCAAGAAGGACGATTGCATCCGACTCTTCCAAGTGCAGAGCAAGCGGACGATCGTCATCGAGAAGTTCAAATTCATGCTAGATGGCGCCATCGGGCACCCGTACGGCACGACGTTCGACGTCAAGGACGGGCGTCTGCTGAAGGTGTGCGGACGCGCGCCGCACGTCGACGCAGAGGGCGCCGCCGAGCCCGGGCGCGACAACAGGGGGCTGAACGACGTCGGCGACGCGCAGAAGCTGTCGCACGTCGAGATCGACCGTCTGCGCGCGGACGGCGTCGCCGGCGGCGACATCGTCACGCACCTCGTGCAGAACAGCGCCACCTTCAGGGAGAAGACGCAGTTCTCGCAGCAGAAGTACCTGCGCAAGAAGCGCGCGAAGTACGTCGCTCGCTTCGCCGTGCTGCGGCCGTCGACGCGCATTCTCTGCCAGGTGTTCCTCGATCGCGGCCCGCAGAAGGTGCTCAATCTGCGCGCGGACTCGCTCGCACAGATGCTGACACAGACGAACATCCGAGCGCACAGCAAGGTGATGCTCTCTCGTTTATACCGACACCGATAGTAGTATCTGTTACGAGTACCAGTAGCTATGTTATTGTACATAGTTTTCTATTTAATTAGTCGTAATAAGTAGTAGTAATTAGTAGTAGTTAGTAGTAATAACTTATTTAGAGTTGTATTAACGTCATCTAATTTCGTTGTGGTATAGAATCAATTTAATTATGAGGTGAATTCAAAATTTGTTAATTAAAGATGGTCACAAGCTCTGGCAATAAACAGTAGAGCAGGGGTTGAATTCAAAAAGTGTTTAGGGGTTGGCAAAGTGTTGCATTTGGTTTATTAAAAGGTTTGAAGGCACCACGTAGAGTTGGACGGTTACGTACCAAGGCAAATGTTTCCTTTGAAGAAGGGCCATCAAGACTACTTCAACTTGGTTTTAAAACAAATCTTGATATCTGGGATAAAATATGGATACATGGAATTCATGGGAAGGGCCAACAAATCAAGTAGAGCAGCCACAGCAGTTTAGTGCTGTGGATATTAGTCGGGCACAGCGGCCCAAGAATACAGGTAGTTGTATTAGCGCGTGTGTTACTGTTAGTAGAGCTATGTTGTGTAACCGTGTATGGGTTGTTCTCTGCGCAGGTCATCGTCGTGGAGTCGTGTCAGGGCCTGATTGTCGGCGCCGTGCTGGAGAGGCTGGGCGGACACGGCATCGTCGTTCAGCTGCACCACGAGGACACGCCCCCTCGACAGGCCCTCGACGCCTACGACTTCCCGAAAGAGATGACGGACAACGTTCACTTGTCGTTCCCGCTCACGCGGCTGGCGTCGCTGACGAAACACAAGAACGTCGCGGGATCGGTGGACGATCTGGCAGCAGAAGGGATCTGCAAACAGGTGCCCACAGGTGGCGCTGCAACCGCAGCAGCGACGGAGGAAGATCTGCAGGTAGACACGACCGCAACAAGTGCCAAAGAGAACATTCCTGAAGTGAGCGATACACCCGGCGAAACACGCAGGATAACATCCGGGGATACACCCGGGGATACACCCGGGGAAACATCCAGGAATACAACCAAGGATGCATCCGGGAATACACCCGGAGATGGGCCGGAGAGCACCCTGCATCTAGGGAACGCACAAGAAGCTAGCGAGGGCGACGAACAACGACAGACGAACGACGCTTCGCCGAACTGCGCATCTCCCATGAACGACGGAAGCGCGGAGCCGGCCGTCGCCGCGGAAACGGAGACGGCGCGGGGAACGAAGAGGGCGCTGGACGGCGGCGGCGGCGGCGGCGGGCGGGCGCAACGTCGCGCGGCGAAGCATCGCGACATGGACCGCGCTCGCTCGCTGCTGCAGCGCGGGTCGATGGACGCGCTCATCGTCGCTACAAAGTTCCACCCGACGAACGTCGTCGCGAAGCTCATCGAGTTTGTCGGGGCGTCGCGCGGCGTCGCCGTGTTCTCGCCGTACCAAGAGCCGCTCGTCGACTGCTTCACGCGTCTGCGCGAGCGCGGCGGCATCGTCAACCTGAACCTCACCGAGACGTGGCTGCGCAAGTACCAGGTGATGCCCGACAGGACGCATCCGGAGATGAACATGTCGGGAACCGGAGGCTATCTCCTCACGGGCATCGTCGTCGATAAGGAGCCCGCGGCGGTGTCGCCGTCGTGAATGCTCACTTGTTTAGAAATGTCTGCCGGTCGAACCTGCATCGTGAAGACACGGCGTTTGATCTGCTCGTGATTGCTCACTTGTTTAGAAATGTCGGCCGGTCGAATCTGCGCCATGAAGAAGCTGCGTTTGATCGGCTCGTAAATGCTCACTTGTTTAAAAATGTCTGTGCGCACGAGGAAGAGGGCACAGTTTGGTTAGTCGCTGCAATTAGGTGAGTTCATCGTGAGAGATGGTGCTGCTCCATTGTGTTCAGAAAATAAATACTCATGCTTAATACAGTGGTAGGTGACGAATAAAACAAAGAGGCATTTAGCCATGTGTTGTATGCTTGAAAGAAGTCAATCATAGTTAAGCATGAAGTTCAGTGGGTTGGTGACGTTTCTGATAATTTTCTGACCAGGATAATTGAATTTATTGTAGACGTCTAGTAGGTCATAATGCCAAGGAATCCATGTGTTTTAATATTACTGTGTAGACCAATGTACTAACTTTTTTCATATAGATTTGTGCATTTATGTGAAATTTAAGTGATTTAATGTGTCAAGCAGAAATATGTCGCAAATGTTAATCATCTTAAAAATAAATACACATTGATTTATTTAAAAAACCAAAACTCATACGTTTATACATATTGTTATGTTCTGTATACATGTCCATATTTAGAAATCAATCATTGCACTGTGATCTTGTTTTCATTAGAAACTAACCACCTCCTTACTGCCAGTAATTGCTATCTAGCAATAATTTCGCATATTCACAGATCTCGAGCCAATGTTATCCACTAAACACTGTAACGATCGTAACATGCTGGCCAATGAAAGTTAATGTAAATCATGTGTCTAGCTCCTGCCAGAGAGAGTATACGAATGAAAATACAACTAAACATGAAATGAAGTTTCTACAAATACGGCATCACTTGTGTCTGCGGCCATGTGCAATAAGTAGTTTCCTTCGCTCCCCAGGTTTTAACTGTGTTTTCTCCATGTGCTTTCGCTTCTTTTTTAGCTTTAACGATTGCTGATAGGTGATCTTCTTCTTCCCAATTCTCATCTTTTTATTCCCTGGTTGTGTTCTCAAGTCCTTCTTTTTCCTAATAAAGAAAGATACAATAAAGCTAGTAGTTGTAACTCCTCCAATGACTGAATACCAAACACAACCATAATCATAATCGTTGACTGCCAGTTGTGCTGCTGCATGAGCAAGTATAGACATGCATCTACTGGAAGCTTTTTTTGATTTTTTACAAACTTACTTGGTTTCTCCTGCAGTATTGTCATCAGGCACCGAAGCATCTTTACACTCTTCATTATGCTTTCCTCCACTATCTTCCTCTTCATATGAGACCTTCAAAAATTTGGTTAAACTATATTATAAGCAGTCTTTTTGTTGTTTCGGTTTATATTGTTTACACACCGCAATATGGTAGTTCGAATTAAACGTTTCTGCATTGCATGATTACACCATTCATATCTTTACAGCAGCAAGCAATAATTTATATATATATATATATATAAATCATTTGCTCACAGAGTTGTGTCCAATGACAAGGCCACCAGTGTCGGTGTCAAGAGCTTCTACTGTTGTCACGGTAACTGTCTGCTCTGGATGCTCATATGTCAGTGGTTCTAGAAGATCATTATTGCGCTCCTTCATCTTGGCAATATCTTGCTTTATATTCTTCATCATCGACGCCCTTGCCTTCAAAATAAAATATCCACAAATAAGTCCAAGTTTGTGAAAACAATTAATAAAATGTGTAGGCTTAAAGGGGAAAAATTGATTTGAGATTTTGGCCATCATTACTTGTGGCCAACAGCATACATCCCATACCCTAAGATGGCAGGAAGGTGGAAAACTTTCTTCAATTTGTGCATAGGTATAAAGTTATTGCATAAAAATCCTACATTAATGTACCCCCCTCAACTATTGTATACTTTTTTCTTGCCACTTCTGCAGGAACTGTGTGTGTATGGTATAATGAACTTCCATTTACTCCTATGTATATACTCACTTACATCTTGTTTTGCCTTCTTTTTTGCCTCCTTGAAATTCTTTTCAATCTCTTCTTGGGCTTTTTTACGGCGCTCATCTTTTCTCTTCTTGAATCCTAAGAGATAATCTCTGAAAGAACGAAAATTGTAGACTGGATTTTGATCCGTGCGAATTATTGTCTCTGTGAGTCGAGTTTAATAATGAATAAATGTTAGGATAGGATAAAAATAAAATGCACTTTTCTGGATCAGGAAACTTTTTCCATGGGGTTTAGTCAAACCACATTTGAAATATAGAGCGACTGTTTAAATGTTTGGTGCCTCTACCACCAGCAGCAGGATATAGGTTTACTAGAAAGTGTACAGTGGAGATCCACTGAGCTGTTGCTAGGCATGAAAGAGATGAGCTAGGATGAGGAAATTGGAACTGATGTTCCTTACACACAGACACGCCAGAGGGAATATGATGCTGAAACTTGTGAAAGGTAGGTATACGTACAACAATTCTGATAAGGATGGATTATTTAACTTCAAACCCAAGAAAGGCAAAAACACGTGAGGTAGGGTACCATTCATGACAGAACAGAAGTAGACTATATTAATATATATGAGAAAGTATTTCGTCTCACAGAGTGTGGTGATCAAATAGAATTCTCTTCGTGAGGATGACAATGTCAATGTGCAGGTAACGACACTGGGAGTGGGACGTTTCGAGAGCAGACTCGATAGATTCCTGAGGAACAACGACAGCATGCTGCCTGACAGGATGTACGAGACCAGGGTTTCTTATAGTTATACATAGGAGGCACAGTGGCGCACCGCCATTGTCAAATTTAACATCGCCATTGTGAAAATGTTCCTGTATTTACTGATCAGTATATCCTGTAGCTATATATACCTATAAGTATAAGTATATCAATAGACAATACATCCTGTATTTCAATCCATCACGCGCGTTATTTTCCCAAACTGGCCATTAGTCATGCTCATAGGGTCTATATGTCCCCCAGGGTACTGCCGGAACGTACCCTGGTAACTATTGATACCCTGGTAACCTTCGTGGCCCAGTGGTTATGCCACGTATACTGTCCACTGAAGATTGTGAGTTCAAACCCCGGTCGGGACAGTGAATTTTCTCAAGGTGTAAAAACCTGGCTCTCAACATTGGAGACTGTGAATCTCCCGTGGCTCGGATGACCACGTAAAATGGCGGTCCCGTCTCCAGTAACACTAAGGCCAATGGGGACGTAAAAGAACAACTGAGGGCGCAAAAAAACTCTGGCTGTGACCACCCTTAGTGCCATTTGGCTAAAAGGCTAACTACCTGGCTTTACACAAGCTAGGTCACACCCCATGGCTAGCTATATAGCCCTGGACGTTTATTCCTTACGGACTGTCCAGTATAGAAGTAGAAGTAGAAGTAGAAGTAGAAGATATGGTTAGGGTTAGGGTTAGGAACTAGGCGTAGGCGCCTCCCTAGACTCGTTAGTGGAGTAGGCGAGGTACGGTCCGGCATATTAGATAGTACCAGGGTACGTTCCGGCAGTACCCTGGGGGACATAGACCCTCTCAGCATTAGTCGACCATTACCTCCTTTGTCTAATTTTTCCTCAGAAGAAACCCGGCGGGAACTTGAAAAAAAGCTACAAGTACAAGACACAACGCAGACGCCGGTTGAGTGATTGATCTGTTATACTGGTGTAACTATTACTAGATATGTATGCGTAATACCTAGTAGTAGTAGTAGTAGTACTAGGCCCCTACTAGTAGTAGTACTAGTACTACTGCAGTACTGGGGGGGGGGGGGTAGTACTGCTAAATCAAACGACATGCGTTCACGGTTCACCGTTCAGGACCAACTAATACTAATATCTGTAGGCGCCCTGTAGGAATGCCTATGCAATACATATTTGTGAATTATTTTGCTGGCGTGTAGGCCTATCTGAAAATATCTGCTACATACTTTCTGCCTTCAATATCAAAGTCGAGTACAACTTTATTTTGTTTATTCTTCCGTTTGCGGTGGGGAACTTTCTTCGGATACGAACCCGAGAAGGAGGCTGCCATCTTCCCATCAGGCACTACGGTATTAGATGAGCACCCACCGTTACGACCATAGTTACGACGTAGTTTTTACTTAATAAATGAAACGTAGAGTCAGACTACAATTTTTGACCAATCAGCGGAGACTTCTAGCGATATTTAGGGTCGAGTTGTCAACATGGCTCTCAGTATAAAAACACCGCGTCTCCTCTCCACTTCCTCTGGCCAACATATTCAAGAAACATATAATTTCGTCTTCTACGATACGATTACTAACGTCTTTGAACGAAGTCGAATACACGGGGGATATTTTGGTAATCACGAGTTCCTTTCTTTTCGTCGTACTCCCAAATCTTTTCGTTTTGTTACGTTTAACAGTTTCTTAATTGTGTCACTAATTCGGTGTTGGTGTAAGTTATGCGGGTACATTCACATCGGCCTCAATCCCGCGATAAACTCGTCCATATGTAGAGACAGACAACCTAATTAATGTATTTGTATGATAAGATAGACCGCTATTGTTGTTCGACTATCTTTACAGTGTTTGTGCAAACTGCAGCTTGCCAATGCAGTCACTATATGTCCTCAAGATGTCTGGCTCTACATATTACAGCTCAACATATTAATTATTATTATATTTGCAGCTTTGTATAATAATAAAGCAAATGAGATTATCATGTAGTGCGTACCATGAACACGGATGAGGGGAATCAATTAGTGTTATCATGCAGTGGTTAAACTCTGAAAACCATTGACTGTACTGGATAATATAATGAGTACATAATATATTAATAGACAGACTCTAAATGTACTCTTGATAATATACTATTAATTGGAAGTAATCAGATTACTATAGATCCATCAGGGAATCGAAATAATCACAATCCTTTTTGATAGCTAATTCCTTTCTTGTTAATTAGCTAATTCCTGTCCTAGCTAATTCCTTTGACCGACATTAGCAGAGCTACTGTACACCACCAATACCTGGCATACAACGGCAGCAACAGCAGAGGAACTAGAAACTGGATCTGTGTTTTATGATGACGTGCCCATAACACCCATATACTATGGCTACGAGGTAAAAATCACTGAAACATGAGCATAATGGACTAACAATATATGTACTAATGAAGAGTTCTAATGACTATGTGAATTTGATGGTTGAGACATGTTGTAACTGTGCACGAAAAATTCATTTACAGAATAACGTGCTAGCTGATCTTTATAGTTGGCCCGTATATGATATATATGTTATATAGATTGTTAGTTACGCTCAAGGGGTCGTTGTCGTAACAGGTACTACACGAGAGAGCAGAGAGAGAGAAGAGAGAGCGACAGAGACCAGAGAAGAGACAGAGACGAGACATGCGAACGA